TGGGGGTCCCTGGGGTGAGTGTCCCTGGGCTCACCTGGGCCACCAGGCGCTGGTTCTCGCTCAGCCAGGCCTCCCTCATGGCCGCTTTGCGGTCGAAGCGCCGTGCCAGCTGCTCCAGCTTCTCCTGACGGATCAGCTCGTTGCGCAGGGCCAGCTCCCGCTCGTGCTCCGCTTTCTCCAGCTGCTCCCAGGCCTGGGGAAAGGCGACACCGGAGGGGGTGGCACCCTGAACTGCGTTGGGAGATGGACCCAGCCTCCCCAAGGACCTGAACTGCTCCGGGATGGACCCAATCTGCCCCAGGAGAGGGATTTAGCTTCCTCCAGGAGATGAGCTCAACCCACCCCAAGAGATGGACCCGCTTTGTCCCCAGGAGATGATGGACCCAATTTGCCACCAGGAAATGGACACAACTTTCCCCAGGAGATGGACCTGACTTGACCCCCGGAGACAGATGCCAGAGACCCCAGGAGATGGACCCCATACCCGGTTGATGTCGGAGACCAGGCGCCCCTCGTGCGGGGTGTAGACGCGCTGGTTGTTGGCTCTCATCCGTGACTGGATGGTGAAGAGCAGCACCTCCAGGTTACCCTTCTCCTGAAACCTGCCCCGGAGAGAGCTCAGTGGCCACCCTTGGGTGCCCCGCACTGCCAGGCAGGCATGGGGAGGGTGGGGGACTCTTACTTGGGGGGCTTCTCCACGGTACGGTAGGTGCTGAAGGCTTGCAGCTGGTGCTGCACCCCGGCCAGCGAGTTGGCGAAGCTGCGGCTGTTGAGGGAGGCGATGGTCTGCTCGATCCAGGTGAGCAGGTCAGATGCCAGCCCCCCGTAGCCCTCGATCATCCGCTCCGTCTCCTTGGCGTGCTCGATGACCTGCAGCGGCACCAGCGGTGAGCGCGGGGGGCCGACACCCCACCAGAACCCCCCCGACCACCTCAACACTGTCCCTTACCTTGCCCAGGCGCCTTCCCTCCACCTCCAGCACCTTCATTTTGGAGAAGTAGTGGTAGAAGGCCACCACGTAGGTGATGATGGACTTCTCGTCAGGGTTCTCCGTGAATACATCTGCCCGGCACAAACAAGAGGCGTCACTCCTGACCCAACATCCACCCACTCCACAGGCCACCACAGCCTCGTGAGGCCTCCCCGGTGCCCACCCAGACCCTCCTTCCTTTCCGTGGGCTGGGAACCTCTCTGCGCTCGACAGAGCCTGGCAATGTCCCAGCAGAGACTGAGGCAGGAGGGTTGGCAGCACAGACTCACCTTCGGGGTCAAGGAGCGGGGTGATGCCCAGGTGCCGCTCTGCCACGCTGAACGCGTGCTCCAGGTTGTGCCGGGCATTGGATTTGGTCAAGTTTTGGAAGTCAACCAGCTCAGGCCTGGGGATGGAGGGCATGGGACAGCAGTGACACACCCGAGGGACATCACACAGTGCCACCACCACCCCGGTGCCTGCCGCCATGCCACCTACCTGTGCCTGTGGATGAGGGCATTGAAGGCCAGCCCGTCCTTCCAGCTTGAGGTGAAGTTGGTGACATTCACGTGGGGGTACCTGCGATGGGGACAGGGTGTCACTGTCACCCTCTTGACACTGCTGGACCCCGGAGCAGAGGTGTGGGGCACCTACCCTGCCGTCTTCATCTGGCACCAGAGCAGCAGCGCATCCCTGGCAGAGCGTGTCTCCCGGCCCTCCTGCGTCTCCACAATGATGTCCTGGATCTGGGGGACAGAAGGACATCCTGGGGTTGGAACAGGAGCTCCACGGAGGATGGCTCCTGCTTGGGAATGAGGTGAGGAGCTGAGGGGTGCCCCAAGCCACCTGTTCCTACCTGGAAGCGGAGGATGATGGTCCAGATGAGGCCAAGGACGAGGCGGTGGTTGCCATCCACAATGTCGTGGGAGCCCATGTTCTCCAGGTGCACCCGCTGCTCCTTCAGGAACTGCAGCGCCTTGTCCACATTCTCCAGGCAGTGGATCCGCATCCGGCCCTTGGTGGGCTTGGGCTGGGGCACAACAGGGCTCAGCACCCTCCCCTCCACACTGGGTACCCCAAACCCCATGCGGGACACCCCCATGCCCACGCTGCCACCCCAACCCCTGGCCAACGCCAAGGTCAACGCCCTGGTGGAACAGCTGGCATGACATGGCATGGCATGGCATGGCATGGCATGGGTCCCAGGGTCTCCAGCCGGATGGGATTCCTACCAGAAGCTCTCCTGACAGCACCTCCAGCAGCTTGATGAGCACGCGCCCGTCCCGGAGGTCCATGTAGAGGTCCGAGATGCGGCAGGTGACACGAGCCAGGTGCGAGTTCACCCACTTGGTGAAGGTTTTCTTCTGCACGGCCTCCCGCTCATCTGCAAGGACAGCGGGCACGGGGTCACCGACAGCAGGGACAACCCAGGGGCACCAAGGGGACCCGGCACCCACCTGCCAGGGCTTTGATGCGGGAGCGCTCAAAGAGCCGCGCCGAGCTGTTGTCGTTGTCCAGCTCATCGTCGGACGCGTCCCAGCGGACGTTGATGCGGCTGTACTGCTGCTGCAGCTCCAGCTGCTCGTAGTCGTTGGCCGAGGTCATGGTCCCGGTGTCCCCCGGCCCGGTGGCCGTCGGCTACCGGCGAGAGGCCCCTGGGGACAGCAGGACCGTGAGAATCAGCGCGGCTGCGGCGGCTCGCCGGCCCTGCGGCACGTGGGGATTTGCGGCTCAGAGCGGCTGGATAAGCTGCTCAGAGGGATTTAGCCTCACCCCACCCAGGTGTTGGGGGGGCACCTGGGTGCTGCGTGCTCCAGGACCCCCCGTGCTCAGCTGTGCTGAACCGTGCTGATGGCTGTTTACGGTGCTGTGTCCCCACCCAGGTCCCTCCTGCCCCGCTAGCACCCCGATCCAAGTCTCCAGGGGTGTCCCTCAATCCTTGTGTGCCCCTAGGGAAGCGGGTGCTGCTCACCCCCACCCCAACCCCTGCACAACAGAGGGGCTTCGCCGACACTGGTGGCAGAAAGTGGGTGACAGCTGCCAGCGGGGGTGGCCACCCACCCCCGGGGACATTTGAGACACAGATAGGACATGGCTGGTATCTAAAAATGCCTCCGAGCAGCTGTCGGTGGCTGCTGGGGCCCCGGAGGGGTGTGAGGAGATGGGCTCTGGCTCCCCACAGCCAGTAACACATCCAGGACCACCCCTGGCAACCCGGAGCTGCATGGAGCCCTCAGCTGGGGGTGCTGGGGGGAACCCTGTGTGCCCCAAAACCACTGGTGTGCCTGTGAGCTGTGACACCACATGACCACCCAGACCCCCCCTGGAACCCCTCGGGGCACCCCCTGCATCCCCTCAGGTCCCCCTGGGTGGTGTTATCGGGGTGGCCTGGCTGGACCGCACCCCAACTCCGCACCCTAATCGGGGCAGTGCAGGCAGGGCTTGGCTCGGGGCTGGTGGCACCGGGAGCGTGCAAGCACATGGAGGAGCATGCCGGAGCGTGGACACGGCAGCAAGGGCACGCAGGAGCACACCAGAGCATGCATGTGTGAGGAAGGGCCTGTAGAAGTGTGACAGAGTGTGTCCGTGGGAGCGAGCATGAGCGGGAACGTGCCAGAGCGTGCAAGAGTGAGCAAGGACACATAGAAGCATGGCAGAGTGTGCACACGTGAGGCAGGATGTGTAAAAACATGCCAGGGTGTACAAGAGTGTGCATGTGTGAGCAAGGCCATGCAGGAACACGCCAGAGTGTGCCAGAGTATGCACATACCGGCAAAGGCAGGCAGGAGCACACCAGAGCATGTACATGTCAGCAAAGACATGTGGAAGAGTGCCAGAGCATGTCAGAGCATCCACGTGAGAGCAAGGACATGTAAGAACATGCCAGAGCGTGCAAGAGTGTGCACATATGACCAAGGACACGCAGGAACATGCCAGAGCGTGCACACATGAGCCAGGCCATGGGACACACACGGGAGGCACACGAGCACATGCAGGAACGGGTAGGAGGGCATCGGAGCCGGGCCCGCAGCCCCCCATGCCGTGGCTCTGGGCCACTGCCGGAGCACCTGGCTCCCCCTGGCAGGAAAGCCCTGTGGGAGCCCAAATTTGGGGACTTTCCCCCCAGAACTTCGGGGACTGCCAGTGGGATGGGTGTGCTGAGCTGTGGCGGGTGTCTGCAGGGCACCTCAGTTCTGACTGTGTCCCCAACAACGTGACAGCAGAGCCACGGCCGCGAGCATCCAAGGAGGAGAGAGAGGAGGAGGAGGAGGAGGAGATGACGCTGAAGGGAGCCACAGCAGGCCCACGGGAGCGTTCTGAGCGCGGGTGCTCACCCACCCTTTAAATCTCCCTCCGCCGCACCGGCGCCTTCTGAGCATCCCTCCCTGGCACAGCCACGCCGCCACCGGCACCCGCCACTTGGGAATTGTCATTCCTCCTGCTCAGCGTGCGGGAAGCTGGGAGTGCCGGCGTGCCGGCCTCACCGCCAGCATCCTGCAGCCGCGGCCCGGGCAGCGTCGCCTTCCCCGGCCAGCGACTCGGCACGGTGAATCAGCACTTCCCGGCGAGGGGCTGGCACTGTGCCGTCGCCACGGTCCCCCCACCGGGCACAGGTGACGTCCCCCCACACCCCTAGGGCAGCCGGGGCAGCGGTCGGCGCCTGGCACCCATGGCACCCTCAAACCCATTCCCTGGCTCATCCCTTGCCACCGCAGCGTGCTGCTGGAAAACCCGTTCCCGGGGCACAAGAACTCATCGGGATCCCCCAAAACGCCCCAAAATGCTGCCCCATTACCGCCACCCGCAGCCAGGCACATCTCCATTGCTCCGCTTCACCAAAACACCTGGATATGGCGTCTCCACCATGCCCACGGGCAGCCACGCTCTCCTTGGGAAGGGGCAGGATCCGGGGGGCATCCCCCAGCCCCCCAACAGCCTCCTGCCTGCCAGGCGCAGGGCCAGATCCGGGAGCAGATGGTCCCGCTCGGCACGGCCGCGCGGCACAGCA